CGGGGGGGGGGGGTCTGCACAGGGAAAGGATTGGGGGGGCTCGCGGCAGGCAGGCTTGGGGAGGCTGGGGCCGGGCGGGGAAGGGATCAGGGGGCTGGGGGAGTGGGCAAGGCCAGCAGAGGTCCCCCCCATGGTCCCCTCCTCCAGCCCCTCAACCCCTTACTTACTGGCAGTGAAGCCTGGGTCCATCTCCCTGCTGCTGGCACGCTTCAGCACTAGGGTGAGGGCTAACCATAGAGACGCTCCATAGGGATTTGAGATGTTACAAGAAGCACGTGTGGGCTCGTCTGGATGCGCCCCTAAGTTGCATTCCTAACTGGAACAGAGCATGCTTGTTTACACTAGGGTGTCCATCATAGAGGACATTCCAGTTTTCTGCTACTTTGTCCTCTGTCCTCCATTGATACGAAACCCGATGCCTTTATGCCCTCTTTTTTCGGGAGAAAAATAGAGGGCATAAAGGCGTTGGGTTTCGTATCAATGGAGGACAGAGGACAGCTGGACTATGATGGCCACCCTAGTGCACACAGGCACAGACTAAAATCAGCAATTGACACCAGAGTAAATGGACAGCAAATGTATTGTTTTAGTGATATGCCTCTAGGTTTATACCAGTGGAGTTGAAAGCAGAATTTGGCCCAAACCCTCCAGGTTATTACTCCAGTGCATTAGAACCAAATAATTGCTTAGAGTTTGTTTCTGTGGGGTTGGAGGTGAAAAATAAATGAACTAGAATACACTTTTTTTTTTTTTTTTTTTACATCAATCACTAGTACAGCTGTAATGTGATTCCTATCCATTACAGTTCAATGTTGACTAACAATTAATCTTGTCTACAGCTAGTTTAGGCAGCTTTGGGAGATAATTTGCTTCCACTGGAATTTTGAAATATGTTTAAGTACTTAAGTGTAAAGCTGTGTAAAATGAATAATCCATCATGAATAATTAGAGCTGCCCCTGGAGGAGTTAGCTAGCAAGTCAGGAACAAAGATGCATTATGAATTTTAGCTTCTTAGTTATGGGTGCCTACATATGATCTGAAGAATCAGCTTTCCCAGGTAGATGACTCCTGCATGAGTTGTAAACTAGTAGCTTGGGAGTGTGTCAATAGAGACTTTGTTCACCTCAGGAAAGTCCAAAGCTAACAGTGGGTTGAGAGAGGAATTCAGTGGTAGATTATATTTTCCTTGAAGGAGACAAGGACAGTTGTATTTACTTAGTGACCTCCATATGAAATAAGTTTCTGATTATGCTAAGCAGCATTTGCTAGCTTTCTGGCACATCACTTCTGTTGTTACGTTATGTTCTGTACCAGAGTTCATGTTTAAAAGAACATCCTGTTCACCTACATGGTTATCTTTCTAGCAGGCTTTTTAGTGATTTCTTTACTTTTATTCTGCCTCCTGGTAAATAATTCAGTTTCTCAACTAAGCACTTGTTCTAAATGGTGTCTTAGTCTTGCCAGATGCAATGCACTGTGCACAGAACCTAGGATTTAGATTCAGAAATGAGCTATATGAGGGTTTTGATTTCAGTTTTTCCTCTTCCTCTTCTTCCAAGAGGTCTTATGTCACTTATCCGCATTTAGCCCGTGCTAAGTTTTAATGCAGGCCAATGTGCATGAATTTTTAAAGGAATTGCTGAGCACTGTCTAACATAGGGTGATCAACCAGCGGCACATGTGCCACAGCCTGCTTCCATGTGTTATGTGGCAGATCAGGAAAGGGACAGGCAGCACAGCAACAGCAGTTAGAGCAGGGAGCAGAAAGCAGAGTAGGAGAGCAGACAGGGAGCACAAAATAGAGCACAAAGCTGCGCAGAAGATTGGGGCCCACACATTGTGATGCCACCTGCACCAGCAGGGGCCAGAGGTCCCCAGGCTGCTAAACATGTGCATGTGGGGTCTCCACCCCCCTGCTACACCGCACATAGATGGGTGCTTCCCCCTGGCTGCGTTGCGTGCGTGGCAGGTCCTCCTCCCTCTACTGTACCACACATAGCACCTGCCTTGCCTTTGGCTGTCCATCTGTGGGCTCCCCCCCTGCATCACGCCATACAGTGCTCCTGAGTCCCTGCCTACCCCAGCACTCCACACTGTGCTATGTATGCCATGCTGCACCGCCCCAGCCCCTGGGGCAGGGACGTGCAGTAGAAGCTGTAGGAGGGAGAGGGACCCTCGAGCCCCCAGCAGCTGCTGGAGTGATAAAGGAGTGATAAGGGCAACAGCAGGTGACTGGGAGCCTGGGAGCTGCATGTTCCTGCAGGCCAACAGTTGAACAGCACTGGCTTAGGGTTTTGTCTCATCCATTTCCAGAATACCTAAATTTTAGTAGTTTTCAAACTTTTTGGAGTCAGGCCACCCCTCCATAAATGTTCTGAATTTGGCAGCATCCCCAGTTGAGACGCACGTTTGGTGTTGCCTCAACTTACCTGGTTCTCAAGCAGGTACTGCCACCCTCACGTAAAAGTGCCTCGCATTCCTTGTGCACAGCCAGATTGGGAATGGCTGAGGGCTCTTGCCACAGCCCTTTTCAGTCTGTCCCTGCTAGGTGTCTCCCAAAAACAGGTCAAACTGTCCTGTGCACCTCTACTTTTGAGAAAAGTCTGAAGGGAAAGAAGCAGGAAGAGTGGACTGGGACTTACATCTGGCTGTGCACAAAATGCATATGGGACTCTTACCTGGTTGCGGTGGTGGTGGCACCCCTGCTGAAGCATCCCAGTTGAGAACCGCTGACCTAAGTACTTTCCAGGTAGGTCAGACCAGCATGGAGCAATCTATAACAT